CATGCCTTCAAAGAGTCCTTGCACTGAGGCCACCGCTCCGTCAGTTATTTCCGTCGCTCGCATCACGGGGGAGTCGACCAAGCTTATTATTTGGACAGCCCTGCGGATCTCCCAGTCCTCTGAGTAATGCTGGGTGCCAGACCTGAGAAACGGATGGCCTCGCAGTTTGTACAAGCCCTCATTGACAAAGTGGAGGATTTTGTTGATGTCCAGCAGATGAGTCTCATACTCTTGCAGCACTATCTCAACCTAAAGAGAGTCAGAAAAGACAAAGGCAGGTTCAAGCACGAGATGAAACGTGATATTCAGTTTTAACTTTTACAAAAAAAGATGCATTAAATCCTCAAATGAAAAGCAAAAACACTGCTCTGAGAATCTACAGCACTGCCCTTTATAAAACTGCAGCTTACCTTCTTCTGGTCCTGCATGTTGTTAACATTGTCCGAGATGGCTGCAGAGGCCGAAGTTATTCCTCCAGCTGTCGCCACACCCACACCTACAGCTGTAATTATCAGAGAGACGCCAAAAGTGAAGGGTGCCAGAGCTAAACCAGCAATAGCTGTCACACCGCCCACAGCTGTGGTGGTGCCACCAGTGATGCCAGCAATCTTGGCTTTCTGGTGGAACTCGTTGATGTTGTCAGCAATGGCGTGGAGCTTGATGATGTCCTGCCAAAGGACCTCGGCTCGCTCTGTGAAGACCTTGTTGAATACACGCAGGCCTCCATGAACCTTGTCAGCCAATATGGTGAACGACCTGGGAAGTAATTGAGAGCCAAAGCAGAGAATTGGAAGCAGCGAGTTAAAATCGGATTCTTGATAAAATAACATCTGGGATCCCATCAGCTTGTCTGCTGACCCGGCCTGAAGAGGCCAATTTTCCTGGCTTCCAGTTTAGCCAGAATGTAAGTGAACCAATATCATAGATTTGACAGGCAATGCTATTTTTTTCCAGGCATAATTTTGCACCACCAAAATGATTCAGAACAACTTATAAAAGAATTCCATCTGCATGGCATGTAATGTGTCCTTAAAATCAAAATGACATCAATGGGATCAAAATGACAGGGAACAGAGCAGAAGGCAGCCAACAGGGCAAAGAAGCACTTTTATAAGAAAGCTTCATTATGAGAGTTCAGTCTATTATAAGGAATAAAGGTGGCCCATACCTGATAATTAACTTTCAATCACATTAGAAACTAGGTCACCTTATCTACTGTATTTCCACACGTTTTTGAACATTTAAAAAAAAAACAAAGAAAAAACCCAAAATAAGCACTGCACCCATTTCCCATTTGCCTAGAAAAAAATATTTTAAAAAGGAGGGGTTACTACTTATTTACTGAATGACAGATTACCACAACATTAACTTCTGGTATCAAGCTGCAAATTACTGCACGTACTTTGAGTCATCTTTCATGACTATCTCCTCATCGTCTGATGCCACCTCGTCCCATTCTGTAATGGAAAACAAGCAATAGGTGTTATTTAAGCTTTGAAGATATGTCAAAGTGTTAGCTTCCTTTATTTGAATGTGAACAAGTCTGATTGTGACTCACGCTCCACTGTGTTCCACCACTCCATCAAACTATCAGTGTCCTGTGAAAATGAAGCGTGACAGTTTACTTGAAAGATCAGTAAACAAGCCTGTTTAAAATAGTATCTGCAGTGTTTAAAAAAAAAGAACAAAAAACAAAAACTGACCCCATCCTCATCTTCATTCTCATTATCTACCAAAGCCTGCTCATCCATCTGAGCAGCCCGCCACTCTGCCTAAATTGGAAAGGAGGGGTGGACATGACCAAAAACAAACCAGTGAATGCGTCAACAAGTCTCTGCAGCACACATGACTTATCAAAACATAGCATTAGCTGAGCCCTTGCACATATCAAGTTGTAGTTGGTGTGTCAGACTATGCAACTAAACCAGTCTGGCTGCATGTCAAAGGAATGTGGTTCAGAGAGAAACAGAACGAAGGCA